ATGATAGCGTTGAGGTCGCTATCTTCGTAGTTTGGAACCACTGTTCCGCCATTGCCAGCCGAGATGGACTGGGATCTCTCGGCATTTGTGTAGGTGAAGTTGTTTTGAGAATCCATGGCCCGGTTGCCAGATTCCTGTGGCCATGTTAGTGAGGGTTGATTGGATGAGGATGAGTAGGGTTGCAGCGCCGGTGCTCCATTGATCCATCTCCGACGATTTCTTTTTTGTCACGTACCGGGACCAGCCTGCTTAGGTCCGGCACGACGCGTTGAAAGTAATTGCTTGTCATAACGGCTACTGACCACAAGGAGATTAAAGGTGACACAAGGCAGATGATTTGGCGAATGTCAATGCCGATGCCGATGCCAGTGCCCAGTCTCCGGTCTCAAAAACTCGAGACAAGCCGATGGGTCGCTACACGCGCAACTTGAACCCAGAACCTGAGAACAGGGATTACTGAGAGAAGAGACGAAGTCAAAAGGAAGAAGAAAAAAGAAGAAAAGGACAAAGCCGAGGGCCAATGCCTAGGAAGTTGCACGTTTACGTGTGCAAGGGTGTAATGTACCAGGTGAAAGGACACCAGTAGAGAAAGGTGAGCGCGCAACGCGTTGAACGAAAGAGAGAAAAAAGAATATGGCAATACTGCTTGCTATGTGAGCCTGCAAGTCTTAAAAAGTGACCTTTGGTGGCTAACCTGGAATATCTGTATTGAATGGGAAGAGAGGAAGTACAACAGGGCGGATCAGTCGACGATAGTAGGGTGACTTCCTTCTGAGAAATGAGAACAAAGAACCACCGATCTTTTTTCCTGTTGCTAGGGTTTCTTCTCCTTCCTTTGACTGGAAACGGAACATAAGTATCTATCGACGTCGTGTATTCAATGTTTGTTGTTCTTTCTCCATCTTCTTTCTGTGTGTTGGTTTTCTTTTTTTCCCTTCTGTCTTTGTTTTTTTCTTTTTCATATTTTTACTTCTTTTTTCCTCGTCTTTCCCTAATTAGGGAATGGGCAGAACAGGCTAGTCTAGCTAAGATATTTAGCCTCTCCTATTTTTACCTTTATCCAAGTCTTTCCTATCCTCCATATTTCTTACCCCTAGTGTCGTTTTACAAATTATTACGTATTGGTAGGTACACTTTTCATTTCTATCCTGCAATTGTATACTCACGTAGGTCCAGTTGGTAATTGTAGAAAAGACGTCAGATATAGATACATGAGATTATATGCCAGTTATTTAGTCGACGTCCAACTACCTAGCAAATAGTACCTGAGCGTCGACTTTGAGGAGAAAAGCGCCACATCTCCGCAGCCCCCAAGCCTCTTGTTGGATACCTCATCTGGTTAGAAAGGGTCATAAATAAGCCCTTATCTACAAAACATTTACCTACTTCAAAACCAGCGGCTAAGCACATTGCCAGGACCAACTGCAAACAACAATCCCAATAAATTAAGAATTGCCTATCCTATCAATGTCAATATGTTAGGAACACCGGTCTTATCAATTATCAAGCCAACAAGTTAACATCAGTACTCCGGTATCGTACGTGTACAGTAATGACCGCTTACAAAGATCAGGTCAGGCCAGAGGCACAGTCAATGCGCATCTTCCACAGTCCAAGACGGTCAACAGCTACGGTATGTTTATATTCTTCTACGTTATCTAGGTTAAGTAGCTATGCTATGAGACCCATGACAAATAAAGGAGAGGTGCATGTAGTGTATGCATCTACGCGTAGTACATATGAGATCAAGAGAATGAATGCAAGTCGCAGATTGTTAAAAGTGGCGTGCTAGGTAGAACAGGAACAAAAGAGATCGTGTAAGGTAATATCACCAGTACAAAATCACGCACAAGGTATCGAAAAGTTGTCAATATCGATGCTCAGACTGCTTTCAACACAAGAAGCAAGCAAAACTGCGGACCATATAGAACGAGAAGGCCACCTGCAAACAAGCGCTTGAAGAATTCAAAAAAGGTATGACGAGCTGCAAGCCCCAGAGTACTGATTGATGGGAATCAAATGTCAAATGAATCCGTTCCAGAAAACGCCCTGCCTATGCAATAATGATCTAGGGATATCAAGCCCTCACGGTAGGCTTAAAAGGTGAGACCAACACCGGAAAATGCACCTGCAAATGTATGAATGCAACAGGGGGGAAAGAACGCACCCCCTTTTCAGCAAGCGCCACCAACCGTCAACCCCTCACAAGCACGGTCCACTGTTCGCCCACCCATACCGGGAATTGCTCGCAATTGCACAAGCGTCTCGATAGAACCACCGTCGCTCCCTTGTCCCTCCAGATATTGCACCAAATCGCGCGCCTTCTTTGGGCCCAGCCCTTGGAGACCCATGATCATGTTCACGTCTCGTGAATTGATGATGTTTAGCAAAGCCTGGGAGACAGGTCCATCCTCTGTCACCGATTCCGGACTTGTCTTGGAGGCTACTTTGGATTTCTTCCCCTTGCGCTTGGTCTTGGCCAGATAACTCTCATCCTCATCGTCATCAGCCTCGGCGCCATTATAGACATCATCTTCTACTTCAGAATGCCCAGCCATCTCCTTCGTCTTCTTCCCAGTAAGACGGAGTTGTTCACTATGCCCAGCTTCGACAGCACTGGTGTCCTGAGTGTCCTGAGTCTCGCGGCTCGCAGCGATGCGTGCCTTGAGTTTCTGGATCTTGCTCAGAAGTTTGGCCTGGCCGGGGAAGAATGGCAGAGCCAGCTCGTACATCTTCAGGGCGCTCGCGTCTTCGCCCCGCTCTTTATGCTGCCGTGCCATTAACAGGTACCGCAGGCCCTCGGAGCGCGTGTCGTCGTGTCGACCATCGTCGATGCGCCGTTCTAGCGCTTCAAGGCGCTTCTTTACTTCATCGTTCATCTCAGGCGGCGGCGGTGCCGAAGATTGAGCCCGGGCCGCTAAGATCTCACTGACTTTCTTCTCAACCATGGCCTCGATCTGATCTGCCGAGATGGACGGTTGAGTCGGTTTGAGCTGTCGAGAAATAGCTGTCGGCCGGACCAACTCGGGCTTGGTGATCTTGGAGGGCCGGCTCCCGCCATCCGAGTCAGACGGACGCTTATGCTTGGGGGACCTCTTGACGGCAGTGTTTGCCGGTCGAGAGGTAGGGACAGGTTTCAACTTGTCCGTATACACACTAAAAGCCTTGACTGGCCGGTCAGTCGGCTTGGCATTGGTGGCTGCAGCGACTCCAGACGTTATGTTGTGGGCATTGGCCAGAGGCCGCAAAGGTTGCCGTGTTATGCTTGGGCCCGGGTTCGTCGTCGAACGAGGTGGTTGTTGCTTGTATACAATCTCATTCTCGATCTCGCGGACTTCGATCCTCTTTGCGCGGGAGCTAACATTCAAACTGCTAAGGGTGTCCAGATGGTAGCTGCGAAGAGGGGCCAGGTTGAGAATCATGATGGTAATGCCGTTATTCTGCCCAAGAGAGAGGACACGCGTCATCTTCGATTCCCGGAAAGGTATGCGGCGTTCCCCCCGAGAGATGGCATCGATGCACTGGCTGAGCACGAACAAGCTTTTGTTGATGGCGGCGGATTCCACCAGACGCTCTTTTCCGTTGTCCGTTCTCCGGTTATCTTCTGATCCGGCCAAGTCGATTGCGGAAGCCGTGCTCTCTCGCACCATATCCCCGGTCGTCTGTGTCACCTTTACGCGCAGAATTGCATGACTTCTACTGCTGTGAGCATTCAGCTTCGTGGCAGCGGTGACGCGGTTGGTGTTGGCCTCAATATATAGACGCTCAAAGTCTTTCAGATCTTGACACGGGCGTTCGGAGAGACCGGCAACGACAGTCTTCCCATTGGCTTCGGCGCGTAAGGGTAGGCCGGAGGGCGTTCGTTTCTCCAGTGGTTCCAGCAGGTCGAATACCTTGTCATTGTAGATTTCGTAGTACGACAGCGCAACGTTGACGGTCGTCTCGCCATCCGTGTCTTTGGTGGTTTTCTTCGCCCTTCGAAAGATGCCACTCAAAAGCCTCGGAATGACACCACGGTCGGCGAGTTTCAAGCCACCTCGCATGGTGTGTGTCTTGCCCGTGCCAGTAACGCCATACGCGAATATTGTTACGTCGAGGCCCTGGAAGAGGGATTTCAAGTGAGGGGAGACTATCAATGATGCACAAAAGGGCTATAGTTAGTAAAAGACAGGCGACGACGTAACAATATTACAACGGACTAAGGCAGAGACGCGTGTGGGGACAGACCTTCTGCCGTAAACAACTCTTCCTGGGACGTCGACTGGTTATATACGCTGTTGAAGGTAAAGGAGAACTCTTCGGACTCATTCCTAGGATTGGGGATCTTGACCACGTTGCTGGTTTTGCCTTCATCGTTGCTCGCCGGGTAAACGATGATATCTTTGTCGAGCTCCTTTTCGAGAAGTGGACGTATACGCGCGACGACCCTCACCGACATCCCGCTGGTCAATCCTGCCGAAAGAAAAATAAAATGGTAACTCAGGCCACGGCTTGCAAGAATAGAAAAGGTAAGGAGCGGCCGGAGTTTCGTCCCTCCAAGAAACAATAATATTGCTATTATGACCTGGAGTTGTAGATAGACATACGGTGGAACCTTGAATTGGCAGAGAGCAGCAATACGTGTAGGTATGAGACAACAGAACGAGATGTTTAGCAAATCAGAAGCTCAATCGAAGGCTTGGAAGTGGGTCTCCGGTTGCTAAGGGGCAACGCTGGGGATACACCGTTACCGCCGTACCTACCCTTCACTTTGACGCTTGACCGTCAATTGCTCACCGTCAGACTTCCTACCAAATGGCACTTTTCACCTTCCTTGGTGAGCACACATGTACGTGCAGACTCATACAATGCTCTACACATATTCTTTTTTCTGTATTTACCATTGCCGACAGATCTCGGGAAGATTCAACCTCCCTCCTCATCTATATTGCATTGCAGACATGCATGGACCATCGCTATAAGAGGGTTTGCGGGTTTGATTTACAAGAACAAGCAGTTCAGGCCTCGTGGCCCAATGGCAAGGCGTCTGACTACGAGATCGGTCCAACAAAAACCGTTCAACATAGTTATCAGGAGATTCTGGGTTCGACCCCCAGCGAGGTCAACTTTTTTTCTCAAGTGCAATACTAGAGTTCTACAAATTTTTGTTGTTCAGCAAATGCCTTTTTTTTTTTTCTTCTTTTCAAGCGCATACCAGAATACTTCTAGACTCGGTTTCTGGGAGTCGTTTTTATTTTTAGGTAGCTCTTGCTTGATATGTAGGTTATATAGTTAGACTAGGTGACTGGGTAATTGTCTCCTGGTGCATGGTACTCGTACATGCAAACTTCTTCATCTACTAAAGTACGTGATGATAGATAGATACACTACATCCATACGTTGATGATGATGCATCGTCACGTTTAAACAACCACCTACAACAACAACAACAACTTATTTTCATCCTTCCACACACACACTCACTTCCCTTCTTCTGTCCCATTACTCACTCACTTACTCAACCCTTACTTACCTTTTAACTCTTCCTTTATTTATTTACTCCAACGTCTCCCCAAGTTTCCTTTCCTTTACTTCTATCCAGTAAGTCCTGAGATATGTACGAGTAGTCTAGATCCTACTCTATTGCGATAGACAGACAGACAGACAGACAAACAAACCCCACCAGTGACAGACAGTCAATCAGTGTTTCGGTCCAAAAAAAAAAACACACACACACACACACAACAAAATAAGCACGAGCGAGAGACAACACAACACATCCCATCCACCTATCCTATCCGCATCCATTGTTACTTATGTACTAACCATCCAAATCAAATCAAATCAACCCACCTCTTACTTTTTTACCTACCTACCTACCTACCTACCTATGTACATAAACAGTTCCAACCAACCAAACAACCACTTGATTACTTTTACTTTTCCTTCCTACCTACTGTACCTACCTAGTCTTCTACATGAACAGTCCCAACTTCCCACACATATCTAACCCAATTTCTAAGTCATGTATACCCATAACTCACGACTCACTCACTCACTCACTTTCAACTCAAGAGGCGAAAAAAAACCACCACATGACATGACATGACTCTTCTTTTCCCCAATACCCTACCAACCAACAACCCTGGAATAGGTACCCAACTCATAATATCAAATCAAATCAAATCAATTTAACTTTTCCCGAACACCCCCCCCCCCCCCCCCCCTCCGAGTCATACGTTTACATAACATAATACCTTACGTTTACAGCACATCCATCACGATTGGTAACTAAGGTAGGTAAGGTAGGTATTTAAAGTTATTTAAATAGTAGACCGGCCTAAAGTCGCAATTCCTTCTGTGTGTGGCGTTGGGGGGGGGGGGGGGGGGGGGGGGGGGGGGGGGGGGGGGGGGGGGGGCGGGGGGCGGGGCGGGGGGGGGGGGCGG